ATTGTCGCTTATCTTTCATGTTATAAAACCCACTTATTATTATTATTTTTTAATATTTTTATTCATTTTACAAGCCTGCATATCATGCTCCTGACTCATATTCCGCCGCAAATGGCAATTCACCTCTTGGACGTAGCGCCTATTATCCGGTCCATCATCTTTCCACTTCGGACAGACATACACATCCGATCAACGAATCCAATACTCGTAGGCTTATTTTTATCTTCTTAATTTTCGGGAGCATATAGGCTGACTTAACGTTTTATTATTTCCATTTAACATTTATACTTCTCTTCCTTTTCTTTCATATTTTCTCCACAGTCCTCCTCTCTGAACGCCCTAGGTCCACAGGCATAGGCTCAGCTTCTCTGATGCTTGGCAACACAGGCGAATCTTATCACTGTCTTCCCACTGATCACTCCAACCAAAACTTAACACATGACTCTTCAGGCTCGTTGGTGCTTTCATCTGCTACTGATTGCGGTCATTCTATGCTTCCCGACAAGAATTCATCATCATGCGGCACTATAATGTCCAGCTACGATCTGCATTCGATGGTCAGTTAATCCAGCTCGGGCTAAGAATTTTTCTAAACCAAATTTTTTAATATAAACTTATTAAGTCAATATTTTAGATGCAAAGTATTACGTTCTGAGGATGTCTGCTACATTATATACATTAATACACTTTGCGGTCACTAACTGTCATTCATAATCTACACTTAAACATCTTTATTTTTTATTGATAGCACGTTCTTTATATATATAAATAGTAACTGGGTCCCGGTAAACTATGAGTTCATAATATGGTGACATTCACTTCCTGTGGTAACGTACGATTAAGACATTCGTAGCCCAAAAGTTTGTTCGGACTTACACGATCTCTTGCTTTTTCTAGTTCATTACACCCTCGTGAACCAGGAGTTATGTTGGAACCTATTGTAATTAATTCGACATATGGCTAGTTTGTTGTCCACATGCCTGAATATTGGCATGCGCATATATATATATATATAATAGCTATTTGTCAGTTTACTTTTTAGCTAATTCAGAGCCCTATGGCCTTCCTGTTCCAATTTACCTTGAATTTCTTAAGCTTTGACAATTGTGATTTTTGTAATAAGACGAAAAAAATACTGGCTTGTTTTCTCGTCCTTGTTTATTTAGCTTATCTTATCGTTGTATTAAGTCAAAGCGACTTCAAAGCAACCAGAATCAGCCATCGTCTTCTGATTAGATATGACTATCAGTGTCTACATCAGGCGCTTTCACACAAGATAAAATAAAATTGTGTGGACTACGCAAATAGTGAATTTTTTATCCCTTATTTTTAATGATTATACTTTTAATCTTTATTTATCGTAGTAGTACAGAAATAACCTAAGATATTTTGCAGG